TAAAATTATAAACTTCTCATATATGAAAAGGTGCCAAAACTGTAACTGAGATTTTGCTTTCATAAAAAAAAATAAATCAGTTTCATATACCATTTAAAATGTGTATTACTAAGATGTTTTCTGATCCAACAACTTCTCATCCACAAGGTTTACATGTAAGTAGTGATAATCCATTAATACACAGCAGACACTAGAAACAGAGAGGTCTGATATATATAAAAATCTTTAGAGAACAGAACCTTATGATGCTGCAAGTTAAAAACTGGGGTATTTGTGGTTCTCTTTCTTGAGAATCAAGTATGTATCCATTAATTCTGTGAACTGACAGTTTCTTTTCCCTACTGGTAATACACCCAATACTTCAGTCACTTTGAAAAACTTTGACATACAATTGCTTACCAAGACAGATCACAGTATGTGTACTTTCATAGTCTGTTTGAAGCAGTTGCTTAAACTACTAAAGAAAGAAAATACTACCTTAATGATTAATCTGGAAGCAAGTACAGCAGTTACAACACCTTCCTTAGAGATGTACAGAGAGGATTTTTGGTTTGAAATTTTTGTTGATTTCATTTTTCTAGATTTAATAAAAGAGGAATTATTGAAGTTTGATTTCTTATTAAACTAAAAAACAAGATTTAGGGAGCAGCAATTTAATCTTGCAGTCTTTACTAGTTTCAGGTTTTTTTAGTTAAAGTTAGGAAGAATTTCATTCACAGTGCAACTATTCTCACATCACAAATTTGTATACATGAATATTAGAGTTTACACAGTGGTACTGTGAGAAATTACAAAGACTTTATAACTACAACAGGGTAGCTAGTTTCTGCATAAAAGAAACCCATCATCAAATATCTCATTACTTAATTAGGAGGGAGGAATACCCCTTTTGCTTGTTTTTTCTAAGGAAACAGAGACAGTGGATATTGTCCTATTTTAAAAATATGAAGAAAGCCAATTGCATTGAAGATGCATCATAAAAAGTAAATTTTGCCTATGAATTGTGAGGAACACACCCACCTCTGACATTGTGATAGGATGGCCTTGGCTGCAACTCTACACTTGCAGCTCCACTTCTACCAAAACTTTGCCATGTAAACCCAATACGGATATTTTTTTTCAAAATATTTAAGGAAAAAATTGAGTATTTTCTATTTTTGAAAAATCAAACCTAAAATGGTTTCATCTTAAAGTGCATATTTTTCATCATTTCATCTTTAAAATTCATGGATTTTTTTTTCCTAGCAATATGATAACCTTATCATATTACATTGGAAATTAAACATAGAAGTAAAATTTAGTCTATACATCCACAAGCCTCACACTTCAGCATTCTGCACAAGTCCACTACAAAGCATATTCAATTATTTTATTACCAGATATTTATCATAATCATTAGAGAGAATGCAAAAGAACAGCTATTATTCCTCAAAATTAATTTAGAATTTTGTTTCAAGGTCATATTCACAGTTGAAATAGAAAATGTTTTTCCATAAACAGCATTGATACTATAGCAAAGTGGTTTTTTTCCTTCATTTTATCCCTTCCTAGATGTTACCTCCATTTAATATTTGTTGCCATGCTATTTGTCATATAATACAGCAATTAATTTTACTGTATTTTCCATTCCAAGAAGTGCAATCAATAAAACTGCACAGTAACAATGTTTAATCTCAATTGTTTCATCAATTCTGCTAATCTTGTACAACAGAAGTTAACCTTTCAAAAACTCCATATGGAAACATTTTAAACCAACATACTGCCAGCTAAGAATAATATTAAGGGCTCACATTTTTTGCAAGATTTAATTAGTATAAAATTTTATGTTCATAACTTCAATCTGCATGGTTTACCACTATAAGTGGCAAGAGATTGCACAAATTCTGTATTCTGTGGAGGTATATATATATTAAAGAGCAATATAATTGTCAACGTGAAATTATTTAGACAAGGATGCAAAGATTTAATTTCTGTATTTTGATGCCATGATTTGAATCTTACCAAAACTGTTATTAAACAAACAAAAAAAAAGTGTTGCCATTATTTGCTTATACCTTCTAAAAGTATGAATCAGCCATATATCAATTAATAACACTGCATATTTTTCTGAACAACAACAATGGATCTCCCAAATAATCTCATAAATAGAGGTTTTGGAAAAGCTAGGACATTAGGTAACTGTGGTGTGCTCTGGAATTCATTCCATAACACCTTACCTATATCTTTTGTGTCTACTTGCTAAATAAAGACCTAATCATACAGATTAAAGTGCACAAAGACAGCTGTAGTTTCAATCTTTGCTAACCTAAACATCTAACCATCAGCCATATTGCATGAAGTATCCTTATGTACCCTTCTAACCCCACATATAATGTGTTATTTTATTTGAACTCAAGCTACCATCCCAGAAATAAAATTTTCCTGAATCAGGAATAAAAGCTATTCTTTTCAGGTTATTTATAGTATTAGAGAAAATCAGATAGAAACAGTCTCAGAATTTAGAAATTTCAACAGTGCCATTAGTATGTGTCTGCATAGGAATAGACAGGTTATAAATTTTGTTATGGTGGAATCCTTGAAAAAGAAACTCTCTCCTTCCTTAACTCCTGTTTTTCATTTAATGGCAGCAGCAAGGTTAAAAGAAACACTAATTGACTCTACAAACTACTGTCTTCACATATGGCTGGCCAGGTCTCCAGTACCAGAACTGATTTGGTGATGAACCCATTTCTAGAGTAATTTTCCTCATAAGGCTGTTTCTATCTTACTTTTTCTGAATGTGAAGAGTTCATTTGGTCATTAAAGGTTCATCACGGTCCTTTTCTCTAATACTGTTAACCTTTAGTTTTGCTCATGTTATCAATGGGTGTTTAGTGTCACAGATGACTGTGTATGGTGGTATCATTTGCTCTCCCTGCAACCAGAGGCCAGGAGCCCTGGACACAGGGAACAAGTATGCTTAGGATACTATGGAAGGCCCTGGCAAAGAGTCCTAGTTGGAAACGCTGCTAAAGACTACAAGAGTGGTCAGTCTTAGTGATGGTGCATCATGGAGCATCATTCCCAGCCCAAAACGGGGAAACAAAGCAGATGCCTCAATTCACAGCTCCAGCAGGCAAATGCTCCCATCAAGGTCTTGTTATCTCCCTCAGAGGCTGGGGCAGGTGGAGACAGTATCCTTGCCTGTAGATGGGATCAAGAAGTTCTGTCATCAAGTTGAAAGAAGAGGCCAACAGAAACCTTGCAAAATTGAGTAGTGATGAAGTCCTGCACCTGGGAAAGAAGAGTCCCTTGGAACAACAGAGGGGTGATGTCTTTTTCAAAGTAGCTGTTTCTTAGAGACTGGTTAGGTGCAGTCTGCTGGTGGGGTGTGATTGCAGTCGTATTATATATTTATTTATTTATTTATCTTACTTCCATTTCCACCCCTCCCCAGTAATTAATCTGTCTTTTTCTCAGTCCACAAGTTTTTTCTCAATTTTGCCCTTTCAATTTTGTCCTCCACCCCACTTTTGGGGAATGAATTTAGGTTGGGTGGGAGCCAAATGGGGTAAACCCATCACAAACATGCTGCCCAGAGAGGCTGTGCAGTCCTTGAGGTTTTTGACACCTCACTGGACAAAACCTTGAGCAACGTGATCTGATTTCAGATCTCACCTTGCTTTGAGCAGGAAGTAGGACTGAAGATTTCCTGAGATCCATTCCAGACTGATTTGTTCTGTGATTTCATGTTTTGCGGTTCTTATAAACCAAATCCAGAGGTGAGATACTAACAAACAGAGCTGACGCTAACAGTCGATCACAAACGTCAAATAGACAACGCAAGTAATGTGGTTTTTTTAAAATAAACAAATAAACACACAAGTACCGACATATAAGTAAAAGATATTTGAAATACAGTAACATGCCTTTGCAGATGAGCATCTTTCTGGCCATATCACCAACCTCAAATTACTGTCATTACAAAGCAATCAAGAAAATACTGATGTGATATCATGTGATACGTATCACGTTATGATAAAAATAATACTAGTAAAGGAATGTACAAACCTGGTATTTGTTATGTAAGATATTTTAGAAAAGTAGGTTATATGCATGACTTAAATCTGCTCTTCCTTAACCATCACAGAACCATAGAAAAATCATATAATTACATTTAAAAGCAGACATCAAGTACAGAAACTCTCTTGGTTTTTCCCATGAGAAATTATTTATTGTAGGCAAAACCTATATCTAGTTACTCCAAATACCATTTTTCAACAGTAAATGCACATAAATTAGATCAAATTATTTATTATTTAGGCTAATTAAAAAATTTTACTGTTTCTCGCTGCCCAAGTTGTAGCACCAGGTATGTATATTTACTGCAGGTTGGTGAGTTTTTGGGGTTTTTTTGTTTTCTCTTACACAGCTATCAGAATCTCAATGAAAGTGAGAGTCTTCCGGATTACTACTTAGCTATTGGCATAGAAAAAAGCATAAAATAAAGGAAATGTGCTCAGCTAAGAGTCTCTGAATAATTTATCACCATTTTTAGCAGTATGATAAAGTTAAAAAGTGAACAGATCTTTAGAGGAATAAAAAATAAGAAATAAGACTCTTCCTTCAGTTCTCTCCTCCCCTTAAGAAGAGATTCAATGTTCATCAAGACAGAGAAATGATTTGTCTCACAGCGTTTTTCTCTTTGACCTTCATCACAACTCTGCAGTTACCATAGCTTACTCAGTCTCTTCTGTTCCTCCCAGTCTTCACTTTTGCTTCCTAGTCTTGTTAGGCATGTCATTTCTCCCTGCTCCTTTCAAAAATGAAAAGATTTTTTTTTTCTGTTTCTGTACCCTATAGAAATTCTGCCACTGAGTTCCAATTGTCCAGGTCTGTGATGCAAAAAGGGCTGTTCTGTCTAGTATAACCCTCATTTTAGGGACATATTTTGACATTATCAAGTAGTAATTTTGGGCGGGGAACGCTCTCCAAGTAATCAAACTAAGTAATACACATACCTTATTTTTAACCAACACCTTACTTTGTGCATTTTGATGATCACAACTCAGTTTTAGTTGGCGTTGCTTTATTTTACATCTCTGAATTTCTTTTACCTGCAACTTCAGTTTTCTGTTCTCTTCTTCCAAATTTTGCTCTTCCGCTTCAGGTTGCTCTCTCTTTCCCCATTCAGAGGTATTCTCACACTGCATTCTTTCCAGCTGGGAAGGGTGAGGTTAGGAGGAAGAATAACCAAAAGAGAAAAAAAGAAAGAGGCATATTATGATTAAAAACCCTATTTGCTAGGTGAGGCTAATGGCCTCAACTCAGAGCAAGGCTGGTAACTTAGAAATTCCTCCAAGGTATAAGTTTTCTGTGTTTCATAAACTAAAGTACTTGAATTTGAAAAGAAATAGCCAAGATAGTCAATTGTACCTTTATAAAAGTAAAGCATAGATAATTTTTAATACAGTAACCAAATCACATTCTTTTCTTGCTATTTATGAAAAACAGTATTAAGAAATAAAATGTTTAGATAACATTGAGATTGATTTTGGCTTGACGATGTCAAAGTTAATTTTTTACTCTCCAAAAGATGAAAAACCAGCATGCTTTTCCTTTGCTTACATTTTAGAAGGATTGTACTGAATATTCATGAAACTGAAGAAGTTCTAAAGTATGTTTTCAGTACTGCATACTGCTATCCTCATGATCAGAGAAAAGATTTTTCAGTTTTCACACTAATCTGTTTCTTGCAGTTACAATTAATAGTCTTAATAGAAATATTATTGTTTATGGAAAATGGTGTAACCTTAATTTAGGATAACTTTATGAATTCATTTATCAAACCCATATAAAGTCATATAAAGCAATTATCTGACAACTGATTTATTCTTCAGAGACAACTACATAGAGATTCTGTCAAGGCTGCATTAAATGTTCCTCAGATTTTAAAAAGAAAAATGTTAAAATGAATTTATTTTTATAGCACAAAACAGGAATTTATCAGTTACTTAATTATTGTTAACTGATTATTAAGAGACTAAAAGAGATTAAGACATTAAAAACTGAAAATAAAAGGGTATAGTTTTTTCAAGTGAGATGAAATATAGAAATGCTAATACATAGAAGTCAGAATTTTCAGAACTTTTTACAATTTTCAGTTCTGTGAGAACTGAAATTTATTGTTTGATAAAAGCAGAGAATGACACCATTGTGAGGCACTTCTTCATTGAAGAAAGAGCATATCTGTGCCAACAAGGTTTAGGGCAAACCATAGAGGTGCACTTTTTCAGATACTTGCTACTTTTAATTTAAAATCAATTTCTGACAAATAATGAAAACCTACTGAATGTTAGGCAAAGAGAATGAGCCATTATGGCATCAGACAAACAGTTTTCAGACCTTATGAATAATCACAATGTGATTATCTAGCTAAATCAAATTGCAAACTTGTCTGTTTCCATCATATTTCTGAGTAAATAAAAACAACTAGAAACTCTAAGAAGTTAAAGAGGTTCATTCAGACTTTCAGAGGAAAGTAAAAATTCTTTTTGAGTTTCTCTAGTAAGAATAAAAATCATATTAAATGGAAAAATAACAAATTATTGCTTAATAGCAATGATAATATTTTCCCAAATATTTCTCCAGATAGTATTGTATACATGATAGACTAGAATCTTCCTCAAAAGACTGAGTAAAGTAGGGAGAAAGAAAAAAACACAACAGAAAAAAACAAAAGAAATGACAGAAGACAAGGAGCCACTTTTTTTCCCACAAATTTCATCTTCTCATGATAAGGAAAAGACAAACAGCAATGCTGATGTTTCAAGCAGTTTCCATGTATAAAAAAACCCAACAAGACAACACATGTTGTTCCTCCACATCACAACAGTATTCCTAAAACCTTGGCCAGTCATACCATCATGATAGATTGTTGGATGATAGCATTTGGAGAGAACTCAGAAATGGTTCTTAAAACTAAAATGGCCTTTGATCTAAGATTAGACAAACTAGCAAGTAAGAAAGAAAGGAAAATACTGCTTTCATATTCTGTATCCTGTTGGCAGAACTGCGGGTAACTAATTTTAACTCCTTTAACAATTAACAATATTCAGCAGTTCTCTTTACATTATGGACTTGTTCTTGTATGAAAAGACTTAATACAGCTACAAAACTATGAGTTTTGGTGAGTAGTCCACCTGATTAAAGTACAACAGACAGAAAGGTCTATACATGTTATATTTGTGCTATCTCACAGTCTTTATAGGTTACTTACCAAGCTAAATTCCTTAGAATGTGATAAATATACTCAAATTAACAGGGAATCAGGGAAGGATAATCTTGTACCCTTGATTTCAGGTTTGGTTTTTCTTTTGGCCTGGATGAGCTACAAGATGCTAACTGCAATGCACAAGAAAATATTTGCTGCTCACATGTTCCTAATGAGGTCTTTAAACTCTATCCACTGAATTTCTGTACAAGAGCAGGAAATGCAGGGATCATATACCTCTATTTAGCACCAAATATTATTTCTTCCCCCCCTAAATTATGCAAATTTATACTTGTTCAAATACTGCCTACTGGACTGTAATCACAAACCCTATATTTTTTCCTAAATAAATATGCAAGCATAATGTCTTAGAAATATCAATGAATGTTCTGGAACATGAGAAACCCTGTGTTCTTGCAAAGCATCCATCAAAATACACCGTTGAATTTGTAAGCCTGAAAGTTCACCTTTTCACAGTGTTGACACTAATCAATACAAATTCATTTTTGGCAGACTTCAGATAGAGAGAAATCACAAAACCACCCAAGGTTCAATTTCAGTCAGGCAATTAAGCAGAAGATGACTACCAAACCAATATCTGATGTCAAAGATAAATTTACTTACCTCTGTGTCTGTAAAATTTCAATTCATTGCTCCCAACATGCCTACAATAATGACAAATTCACATATTTAATTGTCCTGATTTCAGCCGGGATAGAGTTCATTTTCTTTCTAGTAGCTGGTACAGTGCTGCATTTTGAATTTAGTATGAGAATAATGTTGATAACATACTGATGTTTTTGTTGTTCCTGAGCAGTGCTTACACTCAGTCAAGGTCTTTTCAGCTTCTCATACTGCTCTGCCAGCAAGGAGGTTGGGGCTGCACAGGATGCTAGGAGGGTACAAGTGACCCAAACCAGCCAAAGAGATATTCCATACTATGTGATATCATGCCGGAAAAAAAAAAAGTGGGTTGTTGGCTATGAGGGGCTGATCACTGCTCGAAATCTGGCTGTTCATCAGTTAGCAGGTGGTGAGAAACAGCATTGTGCACGCCTCTTTTTGTATATGCCTTTATAATAATTATTTTTTTCTCTTCTATTTATGTCCTACTAAACTGTCTTTATCGCAATCCATGGGTTTTACCTCATCCCAGTGGAGGGGAGTGAGTGAATGGCTGTGTAGTGTTTAGCTGCCTGCCTATGTATACAGCATACACATAAGAACTCCAGAATAAAGTCAGAAAAAAATACTACTATGTACAAAATCATGAAGAGACAATTTTCTTATAATTGATTTTGGTATAAATCTTTGTCTAGCAAAGTACTAGAATTCATATTTTCTGGACTACTAATTTTCAGAGTCTTAGTAATCAGGGTTGGCTTGTTGTTCATTAGATTTCTTCCAAAATATAACTTAGGCTTAGTCCAAATAACACTTTTCATGTAATGCCCTTTCTTACATGAGGTATTTACTTTCTTATTCCTCTTTGGTATGGAATATGCAAAAAAAAAAAAAGCAATGTGCCAGGCCCCAACTTTGAGATTTCAAGTCACAACACCAAATTCACAAAGTCAATGTGTAATTTTGTCATTCCTAGCTAAAAATATTGGCCTACTCCTGACTAGACAGAATTTGTCTTCCAAACCTATGCAATGCATTCCCAATATCACTGACACTCCAAAACCTCTATCAGGGCCCTTCCAGCTCCAGGATTTCAGTTGACACTCAAGGCCAGTTAGCTGATGCAAGCTGGAAGAAGACCTTGCAGAGGGAAGTCTCCCTTTGTATAAGGACAACTCTTAATATGAATATTCCAGATCCCATCCCTGCTGGAGCTATTTATTTACATATTTGCATTCAAAAGAGACAGAAGAGGTTCATATGAATGCAATATAGCCTGCAGAAAACAGTTTTGATACTCATACTGTTTTATGAGGAACACAGGTGTTCCAGAACTGACTAGTCTCATCTTTCTATATGACCATTTCAACATATTTTATCCTGAATCATATAAAGTTAACTATGTCTGAAACTATATCTTTTAACTCATTTAGTGGAAAACTGAAATATTGTTATTAAGATTACTGAAAATTGCTTTGCTAATTAATCATCCTAAAGTAAAGAATTATGCACACATTTATTTTAATTAGACCTAAAGAATATTATTTTACATATGCTTTTTCTGAATTTTTCTATTTTATAGATAAATAGATAATCATATAATTACATCTTTAAACAGTTCTGGCATGTAGAATAAAGTGCATATGTAAATATACATGTTGATATTTGCAGAACAAAAATTCAAACAAAGGGCAAATATTTGCTGCTTACATTTTTACCAGAGACATACACGAATGCAATTTTACTTATCAGTTGTTGCCCAGTAAATTTTTCAAAACAGTTTAAGGAGCTCTTTAAGCTGTACATGTGCTACATGTATCAGGTGTGGGAAATATTTGTTATTCAAGTTCAGCTACTTGTTCCATGAATTAGTTTCGCACTCTTCATCAAGAACTAAAACATCTTAATAGCTTAAGTATTTTTCATGACAGAAGTAACTGTGTTCACTACAAAGACGTCAGAAAACCTGTGAAAGTTTTATTACAGTATTATAACAGCTTTTAGTTGTGCATTTGAACTCATAAAAGAAGTTGTTAATTATACACATTTATATTTCTGAAAGTGAGTTAAAATTACAACATTCTATTCTCTTGCTGTTCATTTTCAAGGATGAAATACAGATATTCAGAGCAGTAATGTCCCATAAGTGTTGCATTACTATTTTTCTAATTGAAATTTTTCTAACTTCTAAGAGCTATATTCTTATGTAAGAGATGAAGCTACATTCATATAAAACACATAAACCTAAGCACGTTGGAAATTTGCTTCTCTGTCATTCACACCATTCTTCCAAAATGAGTAGTGAGATTAAAGCAAAGCCAAATG